TTCTGTACTTGTATGACACAAGACTCTCATTTGGTTCCAAAATCATCCCATAGAATTCTTCATTTCTAGACTCAAACTGTTACAGAATTGTGTCCAAGCCGTGGTTCAATGCAATCGGGTTTTTTCTTAGCTGGTTTTCCTTTTTCGTTTACACAATTTGTCTGAATTGTCCTATTTAACCTTTTAGAGATCTAAGATTTTACATAAACTGGATAAAACAAGACTGAAACCTGTCACTGCAATACTTTTATGGGCATACATGAAATTAGACACGGTTTCAATGACTACGTCTATTACTGACAATAAACCTTCGATAGTAATGGTAGAATTCAAACATTCAGTAACGTGAGCGTACAACCAAACAACAGTTGTAGTCTTAGGTAAATTCAACTTTGCAGCAAGCGTGGTAAAAGCGGGAGAGTATTCTGTTCTGCAGAATTATCAGTGCTCTTAAAATGTTGAAATAAAGTAGTCCACACCCAAGTCATTTTCTCCGTCAAGCAAGACCTTCTTTGTGAATATTATTTGAAAGAGCTTTTAATGGCAAATCTTTATTTCTTGACAAGCATCAAGTTGCAACTATACCAACTGACACATATTACATTCAAAGAGTGGGCAAAATGTGCGCTTCAAACAGATTGCTTCTATTTCAGATGGTTAGTTGATTGGTCTGAAATACTAGATATGCACCATAACGTCGGAGATGTATTAGTTGTTATCGTATTAGTACATAGAAGGGCTTCTTTCTGGGGTAATAAGAATATCATCATCTTATCAGACAATATTATTCCTATAGTCACTATTAGTCGCTACTCTTCAAAATCTTTTCCATTAATGCCGTGTTAAAAGGGTACAATATTAAATTAGACTGAGTGATATGTCATGACACATCACAACCATATATTAACACAGACAGGCTTTCCCAAAGCTTGCCACCTTTGCTCACTTTTTCACTTGCAAGTCATTCCAGTTATTTCCTTCTTTCCTACCCACCACCTGTCGGTGGATAGCAGCTAGATTTCATTGTCAATAGCTACATAGAACTAACCTATGCAGACTCAGTACAACAATCTGACCGTATGGTTTTGAAATATGTACTGACACACCCGGATTTCTTCGTCATTATGTGTCAGGTTATATGGCCTCGGCAGCCATATATGTGTCGTCTGCTTAATTTGATGGTTTTGGTTCACTCTAGAAATTTGCATCTTCTATATCTTTAATATTAGTAAGTTTAGGCTTGACGGCGGAATTTGAGTTTTTTTTGTATTATTTTTACTTTCCTAGTACACGTTTTATTTTAATCATTTAGGTAATTTTATCTGTAAATATTATCAGAACGAACGACACTACTCTGAGTGTTGGTTCATTTTTAAAGTTATTTATATATTAAATATAATAGAGGCACAGTCAACAACAATGCGACATATTTTTAATGTCTGTATTAATACCGTGCATAAGCTTCACTCGATATGAAATGAACAGCAGAGATCACAATAAGAAATTATTTATTTGTTTTCACCCAAACCAATATGTTTGTCTTCCTTAATTATGTTATTTTGTTAAAGTAAAAAAAACATAAGTTATTCAGAAACTGCTAGATATATAATTCAGGATTAGAGATTTGTTTTCTATTAAATTATTACAGCTTTTTCCTCTAAGCAGTAAGACACCGCAGTTAAAATATTTATTTATGTAGTCGTAATTTAAATTTGGCTGCTTATTCAAGCATACCTATAGGAACGTATATCAACATACCTATACAAATGTTTTACAATGTACCTATACAAATGTCTTATTCAAGAATATCTATAAAAATGTCTTACAACTGGGGTGCACACACTTTTCAGCATGCGAACTACTTATAAAATGACCAAGCCAAAATGATCTACCTACCACAAAATGCAAAACACACACACACAGACATATATACCTATAAAAAGTCTTATACAAGCATCCTATAAGAATGTTTTATTCCAACACACCTATAAAATGTCTTACAACATACCTATAAAATTGTCTTATAATATACCTATAAATGTTTTATACGAGCATACCTTAAGAATGTCTTACAATATACCTAAATAAATGTCTTATTCAGGTATACCTTTAAGAATGTCTTTTACAATCATACCTTTAAGAATGTCTTACAACATACCTGTAAAAATGTCTTATTCAAGCATATACATACAATTGTCTAACAACATGCCGTTAAGAATGCTTTATTCAAGCATGCCTATAAAAACATTTAACAACATACCTATAAAAATATCTTATTCAACCATACCTATAAGAATGTCTAGCAACATACACATAAGAATGCCTTATTCAAGCATACCTATATGAATGTCTAGCAACATACACATAAGAATGCCTTTTCAAGCATACCTATATGAGTGTCTAGCAACATACACATAAGAATGCCTTATTCAAGCATACCTATATGAATGTCTAGCAACATACACATAATAATGCTTTTTTCAAGCATACCTATATGAATGTCTAGCAACATACACATAAGAATGCCTTTTTCAAGCATACCTATATGAATGTCTTATTCAGAAATATCTCAAATAATGTCTTATTCAAGCATACCTATATGAATGTCTTATTCAAGAATATCTCAAATAATGTCTTATTCACGCATACCTATAAGAATGTCTTATTCAATCATATATATATATAACAATGTTTATTTCAAGTATACATATATGAATGTCTAGTAACATAACATATAATGCCTTATTCAAGCATACCTATATGAATGTCTAACGATACAATCATACGAATGTCTTATTCAGTTAAAATACTTATTACTGTAGTCTTAATTTGAATGTGGATGCTTATTCAATCATACCTGTACGAATGTCTTATTCATGCACACATATAACCATGTCTAACAACATACATATAAAAATGTCTTATTCAAGCGTACCTATAAGAATCTCTAACAATATACATATGATAATGTCTTATTCAAGTATGCCTATAATAACTGTTTATTCAAAGACATCTACAGCAATGGCTTATTCAACCATGCCTATAAGAGTACCATATTCAAGCATAGCTATAAAATGTCGTATTCATATATACTTATAAGTAAGAATGTCTTAATTAATCATACTTACAAGGATGTCTTATTCTAACACACCTTTAAGAATGTCCTATTTCAGCATGCCTATAATGATGTCTAACAACATACCTAAAATAATTCTAGCAAACCTATTAGAATACCTTATTCAAGCAACCAATAAGAATATGTAACAATATATGTGAAAAAATACGTATTCAAGTAGGCTTTATATACTTGAGTCTTGGTGTGCACTGTCAACGTGCTATTTTCCCACAACCTCTTTATTAATCGGACCATGATGGTGTTTGCCTTTCCAAGCCTTTTCTCCATCTCCACCTCAAGCGAAAGAGTGTTGCTGATGGTTGCCCCCAAGTAAAAAAGGTTGTTGACTAATTCTATGGTGGTGCCGTCGATTTTGATGGAAGGGGCAGAAGTGACATCTTGAGCACTAACATTTGACTTTGTTAGGTTGATGGTGAGCCCGAATTGTTTGCAGGCATCAGCGAAACGGTCTCCCAATCTCTGAGCGCATCCTCAATGTGGGTCACTGCGTTGTCAATAAAGAGCTTCTCCCTGATGAATACTTTACTTTGGTCTTAGAGCGCAGTCGTGCCAGGATAAACAGCCTCTCGTTGGACCTGGTGTGCAGACGAACACCATCAGTGGACGTGTTGAAGGTGTGTGACAAGATCAGGGAGAAGAAGATGCCAAAAACGGTTGGTGCCAACACGCAGCCCTGCTTCACGCCGCTGTTTATGGGGAAGGAGTCTGAGGTTGATCCATCATACAGGACTGTAGTCTTCATATCGGTATGGAAGGAGATAATCATGCTGCGGAGTTTTGGGGGGCATCCAATCTTCCCCAAGAAGTTCAAATCGGCCCTTCCTACTGACCATATCAAAGGCCTTGATAAGGTCGATGAACATCATGTAGAGTGGTTGACCTTGCTCTGTGCTTTCTCTTGAAGTTGTCGGAGAGAAAAGATCATGTCTGCTGTCGACCTTCCTGCTCTGAAGACGCACTGTGATTCCAGGTAAACGCGGTCCTCAAGCAGCTGAAACCTGTTGAGGAGGATGCGGGAAAAAAACTTTGCCTACGAAGCCGATAAGTGAAATTCCTGTAATTGTTACTGTCACTGCGGTCTCCCTTGGTTTTGTAGAGGGTCAAAATGGTGGCGTCATGCATGTCTTGGGGGACTGCTCCTTCCTCCCAGCAGAGGCAAAGTAGCTCATGCAGTGGCTGTATCAATGTCGGTTTCCCACGTTTGATGGCTTCTGGCGGAATGCTATTGCTACCTGGTGCTTTGCCATTTGGGAGGGAGTCGATGGCTTTGCTTAGTTCCTCTATGGTAGGCATTTTGTATAGGCCTCCATAGTGGGCAGTTCATGTACGCTTCTGAGCGCCACATTGGTGATTGACATTTCTTAGGAGTACAGTTTTGAGTATTCTTAATATTTAACAGGATGCCTTTTGTGTATAGACTGATTCCGTGTTTAGTATTTAACTGGATACATTTTGTGTATAGACTAATTCCGTGTTTAGTATTTAACTGGATACATTTTGTGTATAGACTGATTCAGAGTTTAGTATCGAACTGATTGCATTTTATGTATAGACTAATTCTATAGACGGTTCAGCATCAACCAATGACATATATATGCCTTGACACTGAGCTCACATGTTGCAAGAACTTTTAAAGTAAACGTAACTTAGATGTATCTATGGTAACCAACTAGATTGTTTTGCTCGGGACAATCATGAATCATTTAGCTGGTACACAACAAATACTGAAATAAGTTGTTTTAATGTTAGAGTCAATTCTGTGCACTAGCTTAAATTGCTTTGCAAATGTGTAGTAGCGGACACACAAAAATAGTCCTTTTGTTTTCACCCCAAACCACTGATGTTTGTCTTCCTTAATTAATTAGGCCGCTCTGGTGGCCTAATGGTTAGAGCGTCCGCCTCGGATGCGGGAGGTCGCAGGTTCGAACCCCGGCCGAGTCACATACCAAAAACTTTAAAAAATGATTATAACAGCTGCCTCGCTTGGCGCTCAGTATTAAGAGGTTAGTGTTAGAACTAGTCGGCCTGGTGTCAAGATAATGTGTTTGTCTGCGGCATGATTTCCCAGTGCTAGACATCACTATAAACTCACACTGCAGACATCGTAGCAATATGACTGAAAAATTGTTAAAGTACGTTAAATATAAAAAACCACACACACACACACACACACACACACACACACACACCCTTCCTTAATTAGAATACTATAATAAAGAATGTTAACGATACTTTATTTCAGAATGTAGCATGACTTGTTCAATAAATACATAATGATTATTTCATGATTAAATGTAAGAAATTTTATAATTATTACGGTTGAGTTTCCTTGATATGTGGGCGCAAAACAAAAATCACGTTTCAAACTCTGTGTGAGTTTGCTTCATCCACCAGTCCTTAATTGCAGAGCATGACAGGTATCTTAATAATGGCATAACTGCGACAGATGTGTCTGAGACGGATTGGTATTAAAACATTATTACAAATACAAACTTCAAGATTTGTAACTAGGAAATGCAAAGGAAATATTCACTTCCTTTTCAAGTCTATCAGTTAGTCTAATTGACCACAATGTTGTCTATGATGAGACAGCAATCAATGAAAATGCTCTCAATGTTACTTGTGTTTATGCATGTTGCAATAGCAATCAATATATATGACCGCTATGGTGATTATATATATATATATATATATATATATATATATATATATATATATATATCAATATTGAGACTGCAATCAATCTAAATGACCATATTCATATACGTGCTGAGACAGCAATATGTATATATATATATATATATATATATATATATATATATATATATATATATATATATATATATATATATATATATATATATATATATCAATGGCCACCAAGTTGTTTATGTTTATCCATATTGAGACATTAGTCAATGTAAATGACCACTTTGTTGCTGCTGAGACAGAAACAAATTGGGACTAACATGTCATCTGCAACTTTAATCTGACTGAGGTTAAAAAATATGGTGACATCGAGTGCGTTAGAAAACGTGAGGTTAACATTTAAGGGATGAATCAGTTGTCGTCTGCATTTTTGAATTCCAGACGGTACTTTGCTTTGTATAGGCCATGCTGAAGATTGAAAAGCATCATCCTAGCTTGAAAATGGAATAATTGAAAGAAATAAGCAAAAAGACACCATCTGAATTGATAATAGGGATATTTTAAACAAGGTCATATTGTGGATGCAAAGTTGTGTTCCATGGTGGTTTGGATGATTAGTTAATTAATGACATGCACAAAAAGAATGAGTGAGAAAGGCAGAAGATAAAAATGCTAAGAACAATTGATAGATCAAGGCAATAATCTGGCAATGTTTCTCCAAAACAAATCAATTTTAAAAATCAACGATTAATGTTTATCTTAAACTGATTTTGAAGTATGTATATATGATTGCATCGTTTGAACACATTTAGACTGACTGCTGGAAGAGGCTCTTTTGTTGCACAAAGTTTAATACAAACCAAAGAAAGTGTCAATACTAAAAGACATATGTGGATTGTTATGGTGTCTGCTCATAATATGGTACCTAAGTGCAAGCTCATTCTTACAAGATAGAAAGCGGTGTCATTGTTCACCTGTAAAAACAGCAAATATGAGAGTGAAGCGGTCACATCCAGCGATATTAATCTTCTTATTCTCTCTTTGATTCCAAAAGCAGACCTAAATAAAGAAAGGCAGTATTTGACCACACATAGGTCATACAAATCCCTGAACTGCTTTATGTTTTTGAGCATTTACAAAATTCTAAAATGAAAATGTGTGTTGCGTTGCATTAAAAATCATTCTCTTTCCCTGACTAGTTGTAATGCATCCTTTCTTATTGTATGGCACATTAAGAAGTCAGCATTACCATTCATGGGAATTAAAAGCTACTAAGAAGAATTGTTTTAAAAAATGGTCAGTGCTAAGCGACGACTGTATAGTGAGACTCATGGTCGGTGCTAACGAACGGTTGTATTGTAAGACGCTATGTCAGTGCTAAAGAATGACTATTGTAAGACTCATGCGTACTAGAGGTTCAAAGTACTGATATAGCAAGTGTCATCTTGATCACGAACAACTCATGATAAAAAAGTAATACCGTTCAGAGTCACATCAAGAGACTGAGATTCCAAGATATGGTACGCAGTTAGAAACTACTACAATTCTACACAATACATTTATCTGTCTCTTCGAACGATTGTAATTTTACGACATGGTATGCAATCAGATGCTACTAAAATTATTTACAGTACCCGTCAGTGTCATATCAAGAGATTGTAATTCCAAGACTTAGCATTCAGTCAAAATTCTACACAATACCCTTTAATGCCACGTTAAGAGATTGTAATTCCAAGAAATAGTTTGTAGTCAGACACACCCAAAATTGCACACAGTGCAATTCTGTCTCGTCAAGAGATTGCAATTCCACGACATGGTATGCAGTCAGACTCTAATAAAGTTTTACACGATACCCTTTAGTGCCACATCAAGAGATTGCAATTACAAGACATGTATGCAATCAAACGCTACTAAAATTCAACAATTCGGTCCAAACACCGCCTAGCAGCTTCTTAATTGGTATAAGCGCTAATATTCTTGCTGTCAGTACTAAAAAACAAAAAAAAAAAAAAAAACAGTTGAAGGCAGTCGTATAAATTATCGATTCGGATGCAGAAAGTTTAATTTAACTGCATCAGCACATTAAAAGGCAGATAGATGGAACATCAGTATTTCAATATCCATTGCTCATAGAATGGAAGATTATTAACATGTAGTGAAGGAAAAGTAATCATGTAGTTCTAATGGAATCCAGGATCTCTACCACTAATTAGTGTGTGCACCAAGGCACAGACTTGATTTGGAAGTAATACAGCAAGGAACTTTAAAGTTTAACATTTTTTTTAAACATCAGTTTTGCATTACATGATTAAAAGTAATTATACTCGCACAAAAAGAATAAAAAATTATGAAATGTAAAGAATAAATAATATCTAACAAATATACAACGTTGTTACTTCCCATTAACTATTTTTTCCCACCTACAAACGACGCCGACCGGAAATGGTACATGTATACCTACAAGACGAAATACGTGCTTCTTCTTGTCGAAAAATAAAACACTGTAAAGTATGGATAGGGATATTTAGATGAAACCATTGAAAACTAATCTTCTGTTCATTCTAGATTGTGTCGCTTTCCAAACTGTTCCATGTTGGATAGAACTGTCACAATTGAAAGAAACGTTAATTGATATATAGAGGTAAATAGTATACACATCAATAACTTGTCTTAATAATAATTTTGTAACCCATGCTAGCGTGTCATTTCCGCTCACAGTGAATGTATTTTGAAAGAATAATTTTTATATGCGAGATACCGTCTTATAGTTAACCTTGATACAACACAATCTTGATCATTTTGCACTTTTTGCCACAGGAACCTGCGGGAAAACTTCGCACATACATAAATTGGTCGAACACAATACTCGAACCAACGCTGACAGAAGTCAGATGACAGAGATTGATAAAGGCGAGCGCTTTAGACCACTAGGCCACTAGGCCACCCAAGGTCCCTAATTTAAAAAAAAAAAATATTTTGCAATAAAGTGAGCATTTTTATGTAACGAAATATGCTTTTATTTTATAACTCGCATTAGAAGTATCACAAACCTATTTAATGATTTGACAGAAACTCGTCCAAGAGTTGTTACCCACCATAAAGTCATTAGTAAAAAGTGAGCACTTACATTTCAAATCTTCAGCTATAAACCGACTACTGGGTCCACGTAGTAAGTGTTTTTCACTCGAAAGGTACATTAAAGTTGATATAAAATTGATATATTTACGTTACTTTAACGCAACGTTCGGACACTTAATTCGTCCGATACAGCTTGGTAACGAACAATTTTGAATTCAGCGCAGACAAAATTATCTAACACTGACATATTATCGTCTTTTAACCCAAAAAGAGATTTTCGTTATTTTATTTTTTTATCTTTTTTTATTTATTTTTATTTATTTATTATTATTTTTTTTGTTTTTGCTTTATTTGTAAATTTTGTCCGATACTAATGTTACTGAAAACTACAGCGTTTTCGCGCATGCTCTAAACAGAGGAAACAGTTTGTTTACTGCCTAACCCTCTACCAACGAAGGTCGTCTTCGCTGTCGGACTCTTTCGCTAAAGTGAGTATAAATAAATCACATCTTGACAGCTGCTCTCAGTGTGAAGAATTTACAAGAAATTTTCATATTTGTGCTTGCTTTTTTTTATAAACATATAATATATAAAATGCCTAATTTTAACCAACATTTTGGTTCTTAATATTAAATTGCGAGAGTGGTATTACCGCTTTTCCAAAAGATATCGTGGATATTGGAATTTAGATTAAATTTAAACAGGAAAACAGATTCTTTAAATGTACTGCGAAAGCCACATTTCAAATCAGACAAATCAAATCAACGAGGAACTAAATGCATTAATACGTGCATCGCAACATCGATCAGCTACACAGAATAAATCTGCTTTGGTCGGTAAACATCCACGCGGTGCGACCTGGTGTTTACAGTGGAAGAATTTTAAGATGCACAAAACATTTTGAAACAACTAAAAGCAAGGTACGAGCGTTCCTTGCTGCTCGTAATCCTGAGCGTGTCTAGCAAAAGGTGGATATTTATTTAACTCGTTTCTTAAATTCAGTTTTAAATCACTATATGAAATGATTAATACATTAATTATAAGCAAATGGGTACAATCAACAGTCTCAGAGTTGCATTATTTGTTTTGTGATTGGCAAGATCTCTCAAACATAATAATATAACCCCTCAAATGAGATGTTCTTGCATCTTTGACCACCCTAAAAAGACGTACCAGGGTAAGGCATACCTGGCAGATACTGATTCGCATGCCAT